AAAAAAAAAAAAAAAAAAAAGAGCCGCTGACTCTAGTGAGAGGGCCAGAGAGCAGCCAAGTCGGCCTCATCTTTTTCCAGAAACTGTACATATAATCTCGTAATGATCGCCCCGTGGGGCGTCCCGCTGTCGGGGTCAACTGTATAGAGAGTCGGGCCCAGAGCAGGAAACGAATCCACTTAAGCCGCGGTGACGGACTAAAAGAAGGCAAGGATGAGCCACCTTTCCTAACGGAGATCAAGACGCAGAAGAAATCTTTGCAGCGGAGCGTCAGAGACCCCTGCGCTGAGACGAAGGGCTTTCGAGCACAGCAGTCACTCAAGAGCGACTTCCTGCTGGAAGGGAGACCGCACGCACGCACACACGCATCTAGCGAACGCGTCCCAGCTTTCTGCTGGGGGCCAGGCACCGTGAAGTTCTGGGGATGCAGAGGAGGAAGGCGGGTCTTTAGCTCCCCAGGACGGGGAGGTAGGCCACCACACCAGTCCTTACTGTGTGATGGGCGCAGGACCGAGGGGCGCTCCCCTGCGTGGTCTCCGATCGGTAAGGCCACTATCCCTGCCCCCACCTCCCCTGGGCTCCTCGAAGCAAAGTGCCAGATGGTGACGCTTGGAGATGGTTGCCCCCGAGCTGCTGAGCCGAAACACAGGAACTGTCACAATTTCTCAGCCATGTATCAGAGTGGGATGGGGGTAAAAAACATGAGCCATAGTTAGCGCGACTAAGAACAGGCGTGCACTAAACTCTACACGTGAAACCAGTTTTATCGTATATGTTAACTAACTAGAATGTAAACAAAAATTTGACATTAGCGGCGCCGGGGTGGCTCAGTCGGTTACGCGTCCACCTCTTGATTTCCGCTCAGGTCTTGACCTCACGTTCGGGAGTTGGAGCCCTGTATCAGGTTCTGCGCTAAGAGTGTGGAGCCTGCTTGGTATTCTCATTCTCTCTCTCTCTCTCTCTCTGCCCCTCCCGTGCGTGCTCTCTCTCTCTCTCTCTCTCTCAAAATAAATAAATAAAGTTTAAAAACTTGAAATAAAAACTAAGCATGCACTATCAGTTACCTGATTTCCAAAACCAAGACTTAATTTTGAATAAAAGTTCTCTATATAAGTAGATGCTTCGTTAAGTTTTAACTGTTACTCGTTGTTCTTTTTTGTAAGCGAGAGAAAGTGGGGATGAGGGCAGAGGGAGGGACAGAGAGAGAGGGAGAGAGAATCCTAAGCAGACTTCCACCCTCAGCACAGACCCCAACACAGGGCTCAATCCCACAACCCTGGGATCGTGACCTGAGCTGAAAACAAGTCAGATGCTCAACCAGCGGAGCCAACCCAGGCGCCCCTGACTGTCACTCATTCTTAATTAATGTTTACCTTAACCCTGCTTTGGACCTGCTGTTCTAAGAATTAACTCGACCTCAATATCTACTTCTGATCACACACTTGGCAACTGCTGGTTTGGGAAGTCAGCCAGCCCTGAAACCCCAAATCCTCTCCTAGTCTGTTTTACCTCCTGTTAAGACACCTGGCCAGTTCTTCTTAATTCAGTTTACATCAGCATTTATTGGTGAACTAGCAAGAGGTCCAGAGATAAAAAACTAAAGAGGCCATGATCTATGAAGTTATACTGAGTAACAGAGTTCTAAGCAAGTGCAAACGGGGGCAATTTAGGGACAAATGAGGGGAATATTGTCATTGTGTTGTTTGTTAGTGTTAGAGGTACGTCACGTGCTAACAAGTGGCCGCTGCCTGGATGATGCTTTTCCTCCTACTATGATGAGAAAGAGTTTTTAAGCATTACATAATATGCAGGGCTCCTGGGTGGCTCAGTCGGTTGAGGGACCGACTTCGGCTCAGGTCATGATCTCATGGTTTGTGGGTTCCAGCCCCGCGTGGAGCCCCAGGTCGGGCTCTGTGCACTGACAGCCTGAAGCCTGCTTCGGATCCTCTGTCTCCCTCTCTCGCCGCCCCTCCCCTGCTTGCACACGCACTAGCTCTCGCTCTCTCTCTCAAAAATAAACATTAAAGGGGCACCTGGGTGGCTCGGTTGGTTAAATGTCCGACTTCAGCTCAGGTCATGATCTCACAGTTCAATGGTTCGAGCCCCACACTGGGCTCTGTGCCGACAGCTCAGAGCCTGTAGCCTGCTTCGGATTCTGTGTCTCCCTCTCTCTGCCCCTTCCTTGCTCACAGTCTGTCTGTCTCTCTCTCTCTCTCTCTCTCTCTCAAAAAAGTGAATAAACGTCAAAATTTTTTTTCAAAATAAACATTTAAAAGATATATGTTTTTTAAAAAGT